TCTCCACATAATTTTAATAGAGAACTTACTTTAAAGATAGCCGAATTATACTCATTTACGATTCTTGCAACCTTAAATGTATCCATTCATACCGAGCTTTCGGTAATACCGTAAGTTTTAGGCGGTCATATCGATCCTTCAAATTAATCCATAACTCAAGTGGATCTTTTACAGTTAAATATTCAGTTTTTAACCCTTCATGTAGATGATGACGAAGGAAAATCATGGCCTTCGCTTTATCCTGATTTGATGCTTCATTTTCTTGTATAATAGTATTTCCAAGACCTTTAACGTCAAGGTGAATTTCAGCATCAAAGACCCATGATAAATAATTCTTCCCGGTAATGTCTAGTGCCACAAATTCAAGCTTTGACAAGTTTGACATATTGAAACTAATCACAAAAGTAAATGGGTTAGAACAAATACAAATAATTTTCAATGAAAATATACTTGTAAAAATAAATCAGACAACTAATTAAGAAGTTGATCACTTCAAATATGTAGTATAAAAAGTAACATATAATATATATATGTCAAATAAACAAGAATTATGGAGTATATGAATAAACACAAAGAGATATATTTAGTATGGTAAAAGAAAAGTAATTTATTATAAACGTGGATTTGAGGAATAACCATATACGGTGATAAGAGTGAATGTATTCAAATATTACTTTCCACCAATTGTAAAGTAATTTAAACTAGTATGTACAATAATTACTTTGTCACCTTGGTTATCACTATTTTATTTTTGTAGAATGTCTTGAAGATAAGTTTTGCTCTACGCAAGTCCACACATATTTATTAAATTATTTTTGTTAGTTTAACGCACTTAAGATCTATATCTTATATTTTCTTTAACAATAAGCAAGGTAAGGGAACTTCAGTAACATGATCAACTAAAATAAATGCTTAACAGTATATGAATTTGTTAATAAATTGCATATTGGTGCATATATATTACCATAAACTAAAAGAATATATAGTGATATACGTGAAGGAGAATCGAACACAACTAGGATGTGATTGTAAAAATGAAGGTGACAATCGTGCTGATAACGTGTTATAAATATAACTCAAAATAACAATATCGAACAAGGAAAAACAAGCTAAGATATATAGAGAGAAAGAGAGGAAGAGAGATTCTTATTTCTTCTTCAATTGTGTGTTTTTCCTATCTATTACAAGGCCTTTATATAGGCATGAAAAGTGAATAAAAATATGTCATTGAA